TCAGGTTGAAAAGGAGAAGGGTGAGTCGGTGAATTTTGTTCAGGGTTACGCAAAGAATGCCAATAACTACAAATCGGATACTGCCAAAAGGAATTCTGCTAGAAACATTCCTTGTGAAATTCTGTTCCTGGATTTCACTATTATAATCTACGTATTTGTATTATTGAGATTTAATATTATTTCTCGAGAATTTATTTTAAATTGTTTGAATTTAGATTTTTATTAAACTAGTTACGAAGTTTGAAGTTTGGAAATTAATTAGTTGAAATCTGTAGACCTTTCGAGGTCACAAGTAATGTTTTCAAATAAATCTCGAAGCCACGAATGCCTAAGCGAAAGCCGTTTGCAAATCCGAGTTTTGACGGTATAGTTACGGACATCTGAAATCGTTTGCTAAACTATAGTTTTTAATTAAATAATTTCCCACTTTGTGAGAGAGAGGCCCAATCATGTAAGGGTTAGGGTGCACCAATCAGACCAAAAAAAAAAAAAAAAAAAAGGGACCAGATGGCAATAGGGAGGAGGAAAGAAAAAGGAAGTTGCGAAGGAGAGGAGGGGGGAGAACATTCTTCACGCTCTTCCTGGCTTTGCAAGGAAAGGAAAAGAAATAGGGAGGAGGTGGCTCTTCCATAGCCGTTGGAAGAAAATCCTTCGTTCTTCAGGAAAAACTTAGAGAGAGAGAGAGGAGTTAGAGAACGTGATGGTGAAGGAAGGATTCAGAGATTTGAAGGGTAAATTCCTTGTTACTTCATTATCTTGATTGTTTGAATTTAACTTTCTTAAGTTGAATTGTAATTGCCATGATATATTGGAGTTCTTAGTTCTATTTAGGGTTTCTATCATTCAATGAACTAGTCTAAACATGAATTAGAGCTGGGTAATTCGGATTGGGTGTGCAGATCAAATTTCTTGATCAAGGGTTTGGTTCAAAAGGTCAATTTCTTGTTAATTTTGAGTCATGTTAGTTTTGGATGTTGTATACATGACTTCTGGACTACCTGGAAGTATTTTGGGATTTGTTATATGAATTGGAAGTGGGCTGTTACGTAAGTTGCAGAAAATTGATTTCTTTGCAAAGAAAACTCAAGTTTCGAGTAGCCTTCTTTGGCTCTTAATTTCTAGGCCTTTATGTGCTCCTTTGGAGAAAAATTTTAGTGTGTTGAAAGTACATATGCTCATGATCGTAACCCAATTGATTTCACTCAATTTCGTTGAGTTTTGGTTGATCAAAACCTTCTTTAAATTTGGGTCGCGGGCTGCCAAACAGCGGCAGAAAATTGGGTTTCCAGTTTCAAGACTTCGTTTTTACTTTTGGCATAACTTCCAATTTAGAGCTCCGTTTTCTACAAACTTTGTATGCTTTTAAAGTACAGAACACAAGCTTCAAAACGCATATAATATCACATGATTTGGTTTAGTTTGGAATGTTCCAAAGGGAGCCTAAACTTGGTCTAATAGTGCTGTTTTCTGCAGATTTTGTGGAGAAGCAGAGTACTTTTTTAGCCACACCTATTTTCTTTTCCAGATTCCTTTCTAATCTTCTTTACTACTAATTGAGTGATATTATTTGAGTGGTTGATTCCATAATCAATGTACTTTCTTTAGATAATATTAATTTTGTTCCTTTGAAGAGCCTAATCGGAACACAAAAGTACAATCAAGAGTATAAATACAAGTAGCACACATTACTAACCAAACTAAGCTATTAAAATGTAATTCTTTTATAATTGGCCATCGATCTATTTTTATTAAATGTGGTTTAATTCATGGATGGGTAATATTTGTGGAAAAGTGATTCGAATTGCATATTGAAATGTGAATTATATATACATACGCCATAGACCCATGTTAATTAAATGTGAATTTTATTGAAGTGTTATTTCATTTCTGGCCATTGATCTATTTTCAGTAAGTATGATTTTACTTGTGCATTGGAAATATGGTTTGTATTGTATGATTGGATTGATGTGATGAAATGCAAGGGCTAGTAGTGGACCATTGATCCATTGTTATGGGGTTTGTTGCTTCAAAACATGTTTCAACCCTCGTGTCATTATTCATTCTCGTTTCGTTGAGTCTTTGTACCTTGAGTAACTTGATCCATGTCTTGTTTTATCGATTGGTGTTACACATTCTACTCTGCGATTCCGTTGAGTGATGGTCCGGAATCGTATCCTTGTTTGGATTCCGTTGAGTGATGGTCCGGAATCCCTTCTACTCCACGATTCTATTGAGTGATGGTCCGGAATCATATCCTGATTTGGATTCTGTTGAGTGGTGGTTCGGAATCGTATCCTGGTTTGGATTTCGTTGAGTGATGGTCCGGAATCCCTTCTACTCTGCAATTCCATTGAGTGGTGGTCCGGAATCCTTGCTCTTGCTCATTCTCATAAGGTTATCTTAGAATCCTAGATTCGAGTGAATGGGAATTACCCACAATGGATCTTGTGAATACAAATTAGAATCACCATGTTATTATTCATAACCCAAGTAGGGAATTATGTAGAGTTCTTTAATTAAATTTGTGAAATGATCTGTTTTCTCACTAATTGATTAACGTAATTAAATATTAATGTTGTGCTTCGTGATTCCTTGATATGTTACAAGCTATGGATTGAGATATACTGTTAGAAGCATAGTGATTGGTGTGATGAAGTGAAATGTGATTTCACTTGGATATTGGAAATGGTTGTGACATGTGATTGTAATGCATATTGAATTGCTTGGGAGATGTGAGGTCTAGTAATGGACCGATAACCCATTGTGATGTGGATTTGTTGCAAGATACTATTTCGTTTTGTTTGAGTTTTCGTGAATTGTGTAACTTGAATCTTGTCTTGTTCCTTCAAGCTGTTGTTAAGCTTCATGGACTTCCGTTCAGTTCTGTTGAGTGGTCTGGAACTGAGTTCTGCTTGGATTCCGTTGAGTGATGGTCCAAAATCCCTCCTACTCCGCGATTCGGTTGAGTGATGGTCTGGAATCATATCCTGATTTGGATTCCATTGAGTGATGATCCAGAATCCCCTTTGGTGCCTTGGTTCCGTTGGGTGGTCCAAAATTCCCTTTTCCAAAGATGTAGTTTTCGGCCGAACTGTGTCTCTCTAACCCACGCGTTTCGACGTGTTGTATGTGTTATTGATGATGTGATGGTTGGCATTATTGATTGATGTGATTATGGAATGATGTTGGTTATGGTAATTATGATTAGACTCATTGAACTTTATGACTAGTGAATATGATTGTGCTCCGTTGTTTGTCCCTTGTAATTGTATGTGATGCATTGTGATATATTGTTGAGACATAGCGATTTAATTGATGAATATTCGAGTATAGTGAAACGGTGAACTATGAATGGCTTGATCCCTATTGAGGGTACATAGGCAATCTAACGAGGAGGTTAGATGCAGCCATAAAGTATACAAAAATTTCTACGCGATTTGGATCTTGAATTATGCTATGTACATATTCCGAAGGCGGGGTAATGTTCGAGATATAGATATTTGGTGACATCACGTGTCGTTTCTGATCGTATGTTGGGATCGGGGCGTGACAATTTTTAGTGGTATCAATGCTTAGGAATTAGGTCCAAGTCCTATACCTATGGGTGTTAGAAATGGTGTTAAGGAGTTGGATTGTAGCGATAATGAATTTTCACTCAAATCTTGGATGTTGTGATTGTGAATTGAATCATGAGCATATTGATGAATTCTATTTAGTGGCGTGTTTGTATAAAGATTGGGGTTGAGGTCGTACTGAGATGACGATGATTGTATTTCTGAGTTGAGGTATAATGTTGTCGAACTTAAGTTAGCCAAATCTGGATATAGCTGAAGTGTGAGCGTAATTGTGCATCATTATCTCTTTAAATTGTTGCTTGGTGGATAATGAATTGAATTGAAATTGAATGGGAGTAGAAAAATTTTAAGATGTCATATTTCATGTGATAGCTTTAAAGATGAGTGCTTGATTAATGTCTCGGATTAATCTTGAATTGGGTTGTTATTATGTTGTGCATTATGAAAATTTTGAATGTTAAGATGATTGTGAAATTGTGACAAGTAGATTGAAAAGTCATAGTATACCTGTGCAATTGAGAAATGTTGAATTGGGGCGAAATAGCACGTGGATGTGGTATTGGGCAAATGACCCATAGAATGTGGAGAAATGGTTGAACAGGCACAAAGGCCCAATGCTTTCGGGAGAAAGTTCCATGTGTGGGCTGTGAGAATGAACTATGAATGTGATATGTGTGGGAAGGTATATTTGTCATGTATATTATGATCCTTTCTACTATATTAGTCACTTATTGGGATAAAAGAAAAAGGTGATGAAATTGTTGTTTTGCCAATGATGGTGAGTATTTGTAATTTGCAATTCCAATGATTTTGGCCAGAATTTCCGATATTTGATTTGCCAACTATGATGATTTGGCTTGAAATTCTTATATTTATTTAGCTAATGAGGATTGCGGCTTGATGTATGATATTTACTTTGCCAATGTGTATGGCTAGAATTTCAGATAAATTATTTGAAGCCGGAAGTGTGGTGTGTGATTCTTGATCATGTTTTGATTAAGTTGTTCAGTTAAACTTTTTTTATAGTTTTGGAAGTTGTGTTATGAAATTCGTGAGTATCGTTATTACTTTGTATTGGAGCATGAACGCTTTCACTTAAATCATGGATATAGATGATTGTGAATCAATTCATATTTACGTTATAAAATTCTTAATCAATGGATCATTCATCATGAATGCATGAGGAAAGGAACGATACTAGAAATTTCGAGGACAAAAATTTTTAAGGGGGGAAGAATGTGAAATTCCGTTCCTGGATTTCACTATTATAATCGACGTATTTGTATTATTGAGATTTAATATTATTTCTCGAGAATTTTTTTTAAATTGTTTGAATTTAGATTTTAATTAAACTAATTACGAAGTTTGAAGTTTGGAAATTAATTATTTAAAATCCGTAGACCTTTCGAGGTCACAAGTAATGTTTTCAAATAGATCTCGAAGCCACGAATGTCTAGGCAAAAGCCGTTTACAAATCCGAGTTTTAACTGTATAATTACAGACATTTGAAATCGTTTGCTAGACTATAGTTTTTAATTAAATAATTTCCCACTTTGTGAGAGAGAGGCCCAATCATGTAAGGGTTAGGGCGGACCAATCAGATAAAAAAAGAAAAAAAAAAGAAAAGAAAAGGGAACGGATGGCAGGGGGGAGGAGGCAGGAAAAAGGGGGTTGCGAAGGAGAGTAGGGGGGAGAATGTTCTTTCACGTTCTTCCTGGCATTGCAAGGAAAGGAAAAGAAATAGGGAGGAGGTGGCTCTTCCATAGCCGTTGGAAGAGAATCCTTCGTTCTTCAGGCAAAACTCGGAGAGAAAGGAGTTAGAGAACGTGATGGCGAAGGAAGGATTCAGAGATTTGAAGGGTAAATTCCTTGTTACTTCATTATCTTGATTTTTTGAATTTAACTTTCTTAAGTTGAATTGTAATTGCCATGATATATTGGAGTTCTTGGTTCTATTTAGGGTTTCTATCATTCAATGAACTAGTCTAAACATGAATTAGAGTTGGGTAATTCGGATTGGGTGTGTAGATCAAATTTCTTGATCAAGGGTTTGGTTCAAAAGGTCAATTTCTTGTTAATTTTGAGTCATGTTAGTTTTGGATGTTGTATACATGACTTCTGGACTACCTGGAAGTATTTTGGAATTTGTTATATGAATTGGAAGTGGGCTGTTACATAAGTTGCAGAAAATTGATTTCTTTGCAAAGAAAACTCAAGTTTCGAGTAGCCTTCTTTGGCTCTTAATTTCTAGGCCTTTATGTGCTCCTTTGGAGAAAAATTTTAGTGTGTTGAAAGTACATATGCTCATGATCGTAACCCAATTGATTTCACTCAATTTCGTTGAGTTTTGGTTGATCAAAACCTTCTTTAAAGTTGGGTCGCGCGCTGCCAAACAGCAGCAGAAAATTGGGTTTCCAGTTTCAAGACTTCGTTTTTCCTTTTGACATAACTTCCAATTTAGAGCTCCGTTTTCTACAAACTTTGTATGCTTTTAAAGTACAGAACACAAGCTTCAAAACCCATATAATATTACATGATTTGGTTTAGTTTGGAATGTTCCAAAGGGAGCCTAAACTTGGTCTAATAGTGCTGTTTTCTGCAGATCTTGTGGAGAAGCAGAGTACTTTTTTTGCCACACCTATTTTCTTTTCCAGATTCCTTTCTAATCTTCTTTACTACTAATTGAGTGATATTATTTGAGTGGTAGATTCCATAATTAGTGTACTTTCTTCAGATAATATTAATTATGTTCCTTTAAAGAGCCTAATCGGAACACAAAAGTACAATCAAGAGTATAAATACAAGTAGCACACATTACTAACCAAACTAAGCTATTAAAATGTGATTCTTTTATAATTAGTCATCGATCTATTTTTATTAAATGTGGTTTGATTCATGGATGGGTAATATTTGTGGAAAAGTGATTCGAATTGCATATTGAAATGTGAATTATATATACATACGCCATAGACCGATGTTAATTAAATGTGAATTCTATTGAAGTGTTATTTTATTTTTGGCCATTGATCTATTTTCAGTAAGTGTGATTTGACTTGTGCATTGGAAATATGGTTTGTATTGTATGATTGGATTGATGTGATGAAATGCAAGAGCTAGTAGTGGATCATTAATCCATTGTTACGGGGTTTGTTGCTTCGAAACATGTTTCAACCCTCGTTTCATTATTCATTCTCGTTTCGTTGAGTCTTTGTACCTTGAGTAACTTGATCCATGTCTTGTTTTATCGATTGGTGTTACACATTCTACTCTGCGATTCCGTTGAGTGATGGTCCGGAATCGTATCCTTGTTTGGATTCCGTTGAGTGATGGTCCGGAATCCCTTCTACTCCGCGATTCCGTTGAATGATGGTCCAGAATCATATCCTGATTTGGATTCTGTTGAGTGATGGTCTGGAATCGTATCCTGGTTTGGATTCCGTTGAGTGATGGTCCAGAATCCTTTCTACTCTGCGATTCCGTTGAGTGGTGGTCTGGAATCCTTGCTCTTGCTCATTCTCATAAGATTATCTTAGAATCCTAGATTCGAGTGAATGGGAATTACCCACAATGGATCTTGTGAATACAAATTATAATCACCATGTTATTATTCATAACCCAAGTAGGGAATTATGTAGAGTTCTTTAATTAAATTTGTGAAATGATCTATTATCTCACTGATTGATTAACGTAATTAAATATTAATATTGTGCTTCGTGATTCCTTGATATGTTACAAGCTATGGATTGAGATATACTGTTGGAAGCATAGTGATTGGTATGATGAAGTGAAATGTGATTTGACTTGGGTATTGGAAATGGTTGTGACATGTGATTGTAATGCATATTGAATTGCTTGGGAGATGTGAGGTGTAATAATGGACCGATAACCCATTGTGATGTGGATTTGTTGCAAGATACAATTTCGTTTCGTTGAGTTTTCATGAATTGAGTAACTTGAATCATGTCTTGTTCCTTTGAGCCGTTGTTATGCTTCATGGACTTCCGTTCAGTTCTGTTGAGTGGTCCGGAACTAAGTTCTACTTGGATTCCGTTGAGTGATGGTCCGGAATCCTTTCTACTCCGTGATTCAGTTGAGTGATGGTCCGGAATCATATCCTGATTTGGATTCCATTGAGTGATGGTCCAGAATCCCCTTTGGTGCCTTGGTTTCGTTAGGTGGTCCAAAATTCCCTTTTCCAAAGATGTAGTCTTCGGCCAAACTATGTCGCTCTAGCCCACGCATTTCGACGTGTTGTATGTTTTATTGATGATGTGATTATGGAATGATGTTGGTTATGGTAATTATGATTAGACTCGTTGAACTTTATGACTAGTGAATATGATTGTGCTCCGTTGTTTGTCCCTTGTAATATTGTATGTTATGCATTGTGATATATTGTTGAGATATAGCGATTTAATTGATGAATATTCGAGTATAGTGAAATGGTGAACTACGAATGGCTTGATCCCTATTGAGGGTACGTAGGCAGTCTAATGAGGAGGTTAGATGCAGCCATAAAGTATACAAAAATTTCTACGCGATTTGGATCTTGAATTATGCTATGTACATATTCCGAAGGCGGGGTATGTTCGAGATATAGATATTTGGTGACATCACGTGTCGATTTTGGTAGTATGTTAGGATCGGGACGTGACATTCCTCCCTCTAAAAAGACCTTCAAGGTTAATAACTCATCAATTTGTAAGTGTTATTTTTGCAAAAAGACAGGTGACATGAAGAGAAACTATCCTAAATACAAGTCATGGCTTGCCAAACAAGAGGCAAAGAAAGGTAAAAATAAATTTCACATGTTTTTGCTTGTTTTAAGTCCAATTTGATTGATATGCCTAACAATGCTTGGTGGCTCCAGTTCTTCTATTCACGTTACTAATTCATTGCAAGACTTCATAACAAAGAGAACACTAAATAAGGATGAAGTCAAGGTTTCAGTTGGCAATGGAAGAAGAGTTGAAGTCAAGACACTAGGGACTGTTAGATTAAAATTAGATTTTGGTTTTTGCTTGGAGCTAGAAAATGTTGTCTATATGTACCTTCCATGAGAAGGAATTGGTTTCTATTTCTAAGTTAGTACTATTGGGATTTTATTTTGCTTTAAATAATATTGGCTTAGAAGGAATTGGTTTCTATTTCTAAGTTAGTACCATTGGGATTTTATTTTGCTTTAAATAATATTGGCTTAGAAGGAATTGGTTTCTATTTCTAAGTTAGTACTATTGGGATTTTATTTTGCTTTAAATAATATTGGCTTCAATGTCTTTTTTTTATTTATAAATCTTCTCATATTGGCACTAGATTTCTATGTGACTGGATGTTTAAATTCAAAACCAATTTGATTGAAAGTATCTTTAATGTTGAAAAAGAAGTCAAAAATTGGAAAAATTCTTCAAATCTTTGGTGTAGGAGACTCAACCACATATCAAAATGAAGAGTGGAACTTTTGGTTAAAAATGACATCTTGCCTCCATTGAATTTCAATGATTTTGATTTTTGCATTGAATGTGTTAAGGGGAATTTGGTTAATAAACATAAAGAGGGTTCAACTAGGAGTAAGCAACTCCTAGAAATAATACATATAGACATTTGTGGTCCATTTCCTACATAAACAATTGAAGAAAATAAATATTTTATTACTTTCATTGACGATTATTCTAGAGATTGGTACATATATTTGATCCCAGAAAAATCAAAAGCCTTGGAAATGCTTAAAATTTATAAAACTGAAGTTGAAAATCAATTGGAAAAGAAAATTAAAATCGTAAGGTCTAATAGAGATGGAGAATATTATGATAGATATACACAAAATGGCAGGCATCCAGGACCATTTGCCTTGTTTTTACAAGACAATGGAATAGTGGCTCAATACACCAACCCAGGCACACCCAAGCAAAATGGGGTCACAGAGAGAAGGAATAGAACCCTAATGGATATGGTAAGAAGCATGATTTGTAGGGTTTTCTTTCCTAAATATTTATGGGGAGATGGAGTAAAAATTGCAAATTATTTGTTAAATATAGTTCCTTCAAAAGCAGTAGAAAACACTCCATTTGAATTATGGACTGGAAAGAGACCGAGCTTGAATCATTTACACGTCTGGAGATGTAAAGCAGAAGCCAAAATTTACAACGCAGTGGTGTTAAACTGGATCCCAAGACAATTAGTTGTTACTTCATTGGTTATGCCGAGAGATCAAAAGGGTTTAAATTCTACCCTTTTAGCAATCAAGGTCCTAAATTGTTGAGACAGAGAAAACAATATTTATGGAGCACAGTATGGACGATGAGTCTGGGACAAATGATAATGATTTTGTGTTTGAAGAGTGATGTGAGAATTACTTGACACTCAAATTAAACCCTCGTTTGACAATTGTAGTAGAATGGATAAGTGAGGGATCGTTCTAGACCGGGGATTAGGAGGGCTTGCTAAAACCTTCTAAATTGACTTAAGAACGTAAAAACAATATAAAACACTAAACTAGACTCAAAGAATGCAAAACTAAAATTTAAAACATTAAGACAAACCAAAAGACTCAAAACTAATTTTGGACGAATTTAAGATTATGGCTTGATTCAAAATACTTTAAAACATAAACTAAACAGATTCTAAGCACTAAAGAACAAGAAAGTAAAAGGGGGGGGGGGAAAAGTTTTGATTTGACGAAAATTGAAATAACAAAACAAAGTAACAAACTAAGCGGAATGTAAATATGAAGCCATGTTATAGTTGCATACAAGATTGATTCTCAGTTGGTCTTTCGATAAATTATGAATTCTCAACGCCCCGGGTTAATTAGGTCCGCTTAAATTAACCGTCAAGTTTTCCTTAAGTTAATGAATTGGATGATTGCATACGACAATCCAAAGCATTCCTCACAAGTTCCCTACATGAATTGCATAATAGAGATACAAGCAAGAATCATTAAGCATCATGAAAACTATAAGTGTTGACGAGGCATTCGTTACTATGATTGCATGAAACTTATGCCAAGAATATGTTTAACACAATTGTTTATAAGCAACCTCCACTACTTGTGAATATAAGTTCATAACTATTACGTGAAACTCACTTATATTCTAGCGTCAAATTCATGCATGAAAATTAAGCGTTCATTCTTAATAAACATACATAAATAGGTTATCAATCAAACAGTTAAACAAATTGAATTCACAACTTATGAAACGTAATTAAAAGTAATCAAATCATATTACAAACATAAACATAGTTTCGAATTACCCCCTAGCTAAAGGGGGTTTAGTTCCTCATAACTTTGAAATCAAAGAAACACCTAAACATTCCAACAACTCAAAACTTTGAATTGTATGAACGTTTAAGCACTCTTTTCTTCCATTTCTCATATGTACAAAACAAAGAGAATTAAAATGAAACTTTGAAATCAAAGAAACACCTAAACATTCCAACAACTCAAAACTTGAATTGTATGAACGTTTAGGCACTCTTCTCTTCCTCGTTGTTGTAGCACAAGGTTTAAGGATAGGTTGGTTGGGGGGATGGAAGTGTTGGGGAATTATGGAAATGGATGAGGATTGGTGGAAATGGAAGATGGTTTTTGGATTCTAAGGGAGAAAGGAATGTGTTTGTGGTGTGTTGTTGTGTTGTGAATGAGATGATTTGGTGAATGGAATGAATGGGTATTTATAGGAAGAGAATGGGTGTTAATGGATGTTTGTTTAAGGTATTTGGCGGAAGGGAAAAGGTGTGGATGGTGGGAATTATGGTGGATGGATGGTTTAGTGGATGTAGTTTAGGGTTTATTTAGGTGAATGTGGATGCATGGTTTAGTGGATGTAAAGGATAATGGGATGGTGTGGAATTAAAAGCTAAAAAAATGGGATAATGGGCATTTAAGTGTGAATGGAATGGTGGGATGCACTAATGGAAATTATGGAATGGAATGGTGGGATGCACTAATTAGGAGGAAGAATTAGGGTGAAGGGCTTAATGCATGGATTTTGGGCCTAAAATGCCCCCCCTTGCATGGCAAGGGAAAGGACTTGAGCTAAAGCCCACGGCAATGGCTCTAAAATGGGCTAAGGTTAGGGTTTAGGTGCGGCATAGGCTTAGGGTCCACAAAGAGTTAGGGTTTAGGTCATCTAAAAGCCCAAAGCCAAGAATAGAAACTCACGACAATGGAAACCTCCAAGAATAGAAACTTCCAACTTTAGAAACTTTGGTTGCCAATTCCGACTTCTTTGCTCTTCACTTTCATTTCTTCATTTCTTGAACTCCTTTGACCTTCAACCACGTTCATTCCTCGTGCTCCATTTACATACACCACATTCCAGCTCAGTTTTGCTCCAAAAGCTCCAAATTGCATCATTTCATGTAATATGTCCTTTAAACCTGAAAACACATGAAAGTAGCTTAAAAGACTACTTTAAGGAAGAAAACATAACAAAAATGCATAAGAACTAGCTAACTAAGGCGCATAAATATGCTTCTATCAAAGAGGAAATAGACACTAGCACTACTATAGAACATGCAAAGATTTCTTCGCTCAAGGCATCAATAGTGGCAACTGAATTTCCAAGGTACATTGATGCGAGATTTATACGCACACAAATTAAACCCTCTTTTTGTCAATTGTAGTATAAGTATAAGTAGGGATCGTTCTGGACCGGGGATTAGGAGGGATTGCTAAAACCTTGGAAACTGACTCAAAAACGTAAAAACAAGATAAAACACTAAACTAGACTCAAAGAATGTGAAACTAAACGTTAAAACACTAAGACAAACCAAAAGACTCAAAATGCTTTAAAAACACAAACTAAATTGATTTCTAACTAAATTGAACAATAAAGTAAAGGGGGATTGGATTTGGACGACTTTAAACTAAAAATGGAAACTTGGAAATAAAACAAATTGTAAATATGGATTTGACGGAAATGAATGGATGGGAAGCTAGCTAAGGGGTTCATCTCCACATATGTTATACTTGCATACAAAACGATGTCTAATTGCTTTTCAATAAACCATGAATTCTCAACGCCCCGGGTTAATTAGGTCCGCTTAAATTAACCGTCAAGTTTTCCTTAAGTTAATGAATTGGATGATTGCATACGACAATCCAAAGCATTCCTCACAAGTTCCCTACATGAATTGCATAATAGAGATACAAGCAAGAATCATTAAGCATCATGAAAACTATAAGTGTTGACGAGGCATTCGTTACTATGATTGCATGAAACTTATGCCAAGAATATGTTTAACACGATTGTTTATAAGCAACCTCCACTACTTGTGAATATAAGTTCATAACTATTACGTGAAACTCACTTATATTCTAGCGTCAAATTCATGCATGAAAATTAAGCGTTCATTCTTAATAAACATACATAAATAGGTTATCAATCAAACAGTTAAACAAATTGAATTCACAACTTATGAAACGTAATTAAAAGTAATCAAATCATATTACAAACATAAACATAGTTTCGAATCACCCCCTAGCTAAAGGGGGTTTATTTCCTCATACGTACAAAACAAAGAGAATTGAAATTAAACATTGAAATCAAAGAAACGCCTAAACATTCCAACAACTCAATCTTGAATTGTATGAACGTTTAGGCCCTCTTATCTTCCTCTTTATTGTAGCATAAGGTCTAGGGATAGTTGGTTGGGGGGATGGAAGTGTTGAGAAATTATGGAAATGGATGAGGAGTGGTGGAAATGGAAGATGGTTTTTGGATTCTAAGGGAGACTCACGGCTAAGGAAGGTGGATGTGTTTGTGGTGTTGTGTTGTGTTGTGAATGAGATGATTTTTGAATGAATGAATGCAAGGGTATTTATAGGAGGAGTGGAGATGTATATGGCTATTTGTTTAAGGTGTTTGTGGTTGCAATGATGAAGAATTGCATGTGGAAATAAAAGGGAAAATGTGGTGAAATGATGAAGTAGGAAGGTGGAAATGCATGTGAGATGTTGGAAAGGAAATGGGAATATGAGTAGGCCATGGCATGGGAGTTGTTTTGTTGGTGTAAATGTGCCATGGTTGCAATGATGAAGAATAAAGGGTGCATGTGGGGTGGAATTGAATGAATGCAACGTGAATGAATAATGAAATGAGTTAAAGAGGGAGAATGTGGTGAAATGATGAAGTAGGAAGGTGGAAATGCATGTGACTTGTTTGTGGAATAAAGAATGAATGGTGGAATGATGAAGAGTTGCATAAAGAATGCATGTAGGGTTAGCTAGGTTGGCTTTGTTTGGGTGCATGTGTGTTAATGGTGGTTTTGCATGTGAATTGATGGATTGTTTTTGATGGAATGGATGGTTCTTTGCATGGCTTTTGAAGTGATTGTGGGCTTTGGAATTGGAAGGAAATGCATGGCCTTGGGGTTGGTTTAAGAGAGAATGGGCTAGGCCCTTTGTTTTATGTCCAAAATGAATACAAGGCCTTCAAATTCGTCCAACACTTTGGCTCCAATCATATGCTATCCATTCCAAGCCCAATTTTGCTCCAAAATGCTCCAAAATGCATCTTTTTGCTTCCTTAGCCATATGAACCTAAAAACACACGAAAATGGCTTAAACTACTAAAACAACTATGAATTAACAACATAGATGCACGAAAACAAGCTAAGTAAATCGCCTAAATATGCTCCTATCATACATGCATGATGACATAGAGGCAATTGAATTTCCAAGGCACATGCATAATGATACAAATGAAGTTGAAGGGAACGTGAATTCTGAGCAACGAAATAAATTGGGAGCCATACCACCGATTGATAATGATGTCAATATCAACCATGTCAATGAGCTTATGGACACCGAAGCATTACACATGCAAACACAGCAAGGGCAAAAGGGTGGCATAGTTGAAAATCAACCAATGGTCCTGAGGAAATCAACTAGGTTAAGGAGATCAACCGCCTTAGAAAATTTTGTGTACATGACTGAAACAGCAGCCAACAACATTGATTTGTCAGAATTCGATGATCCCAAAACTTTTAAAGAAGCAGTATCAAGTATAAATGCTACCAAATGGATAGAAGCAATGGAAAGTGAACTGGGATCGATGAAAAATAACGAAGTCTAGGAGCTTGTAGAGAAAACAGAAAACATGAAGCCAATAGGCTACAAATAGGTATTCCGAGACCAAAAGAGATTCGAAGGGAAACATAGAGAGGCACAAAGCGAGACTTGTAGCAAAAGGGCTTACTCAAAGAAGGGGAGTGGATTATAAAGAGACCTTCAGTCCTTTTTCAACAAAAGAAGCATTTTGAGTTATTATAGACATCGTTGCACATTTAGATCCAGTCTTGCAGCAAATGGACGTCAAGACGGCATTCTTAAATGGTGACTTTGAAGAACGCATCTACATGAAGTAACCAGAGGGATTCTTAGAAGAATGGAATCAAAATTCAGTTTGTAGATTGAAAAACCCAATATATGGTTAAAACAAGCATCAAGACAATGGTATCTCAAGCTTCATAGAGTTGTTAAAGAGAATGGCTTTGCTGAGAATCCTTCTCATAACTGCATATACTTGAGGATCAGTGGGAGTAGCTTCATAATATTGGTCCTTTATGTGGATGACATACGACTTGCAATGAACACAGGTAGCTTATTGGAAAAAACCAAGAAATTGCTGCAAGAAAACTTTGAAATGAAAGACCTTGGAGAAGCTTCGTATGTTCTTGGTATTGAAATTAAAAGAGATAGGAATAATGGATTGCTGGGGTTATCACAAAAGGGTTACTTGGACAAGGTTTTAAAAAGATTTAACATGGCTTCTTGTGGCATTATTGAAATGCCAATTTCAATGGATAACAGATAAAGCAAAGAGCAGTGTCCCAAGAGTGAGTTGAAAAGAAGAAACATCGAAGGCAAACCACGTGCCTCTCTTGTTGGAAGCTTGATGTATGCACAAGTGTGCACAAGACTTGATCTTGCTTTCACTATCAGTGTTCTTGGCAGGTTTCAATCTGACGCAGGGGAGGCTCACTGGAATGGAGCCAAGAGGGTATTGAGGTACCTTCAAAGAACCAAGGAACATATGCTTATTTACAGGAAAACTGATGAGCTTGTGTTAGAAGAGTATAGTGATTCATATTTTGCTGGATGTCCAGATGACCTTAATTCTACTTCGGGTTACATTTTCACTATGGCATGTGGTGCAGGTTCGTAGAGAAGTGTGAAGCAGGCAACAGTGGCTCTACCATGGTGGCTGAATATCTCTCATGTTGTGAAATTGTCAATCAAGCTATATGGTTGAAAATTTTCATTGCAGGACTTAGTGTAGTGGATTCTATTTCGAGACCAATTCAAATTTATTGTGATAACAATGCAGCTATTTTCTTCAGCAAGACCAACAAAAATCATTTGCAACAAGTAATTTAGATATCAAATATTTGATTGATCGAGAGAAAGTGACGGCAAGTTTGATTACTTGGAGACCGGTTCTATGGTTGCAGATCCTTTAAATAAAGCAGTTCCGGTTGCGGTTTTCAAGAAGCATTTTGCAAAGATGGGTCTGTTAGCTAGTTTTGATGATGTTAATTAGTGGAAGCAAGTAAATCCTGGAACGTGTTTTGTTATCAGTTACTAGTTCATATGATAGGTATTTATGAATAAGTATTAATAAATTTTCTTCATTGATAAGGTTTCCACACTAACGAAGTCATAAAAGTTGTGTGGTTGTTTCGAAGTTTTCCCTTTAGATGCACAGCTTTAGTTATGACAGTACATGTATATTTTATTATGCATAATGGTTTTGACAATATTATGATTGGTCAGTAGGACAAACAACCAAGAGTTCCAATATGAAACATTAAGATAAATTGATCTATCGATTCTTAAGGGGACCAAGTGCAGGATGTGAGAAACTATACATCTACAGACACATTTTACACAAAATCTTGTGGGAGTTCAATGTGTTAGTCAGTTTTGTGAATGTAATTATGGGGATTTTGTTCGACGAATTGAACAGGTTACCCCTTAGTTCTTCATGAATACTAGTTAATTACCTGAACTTGTATTCGTGATTCAAGTTGGTGCTGATCTCGTGAATCAAGTGTTAGCTCTAGTGGGATAATGTAAGTTCTAATGAGAGCTGAACACTTGATCATCTTTAGTTTGGAGACGTGAGGATATAAGATATTGGAATTAACTAAGGTTGTAAGCTGATAAGGAATTTGTATAATAGGGGTTTCAGCTAAAACAGTCACGATAGTGTTGAAACACTTATAATGGATGTGAACGATAGGTTTTCTTGGTGATATGGTTAGATTATTGATTAGGATTGTATAATTGGAAGAGTCCTTATCAATCATCATCGTATGTAGTATAAAACAAGGGGTCCTTGCACTCTCTCAATCACTCAAAATAAATAATACTCAAATCCCATTCATTGAGCGATTGCATCCAGTTGAGGAGAGCTGCAGAAGATCCCCAGTTTCCAAGAGATGTCTTCTTCAGTTTAATGGTTACTTTTGGTACTGTGATTATTGTATTCCTCTTACTTTATTTATATTGATCTTACAGTTGTTACCATAGCTTTATATGGGCTATACTTGGTACAGTTTCCGGGTGTTTGTCCTCAAACTTGCAACTGGTTGTTTCGCCTGGATCACAGTCAATTCTGTTATTGCCAGATTCATCATAGCAGAGGGCGACTTGGGCCAAATATATTAATTTCTTGCTCTGCTTCTGGATTTGTTGATAGCATCTGATATTGACGGAATGTCCACCAGTTTCGGACTCAATTGCCTTTGTTATCTGATCGATGGAGTACAATTTGTATAACGACATCTTTGGCTGAAGTGGTTGGGGTACAATATTAGCCTTCTGCAGGATTTGAGCTATATCAAAATCATGGTACGTCGCTAGGGTCTTCCGGAAGTACTCGGTCTTCGGGAACACGTTGTCGGAGCACTTTCCGTGCTTATCATACTCTCTTTGCCAGAATTCGACATGCTTCCCTTTTTTCAAATACATATCAACACATCGCCATATGAGGAAATGCGATGAAGAGCCAGATCATTGAATTTTAAGACATACTCATCAGCACACAACAGCATGCTAGCAAACTTTTCAAGGCACCTATCCAATATTGAAAAGAGATCCTCAAAGAAACTGCCGCCAATGAAACACCCAGATATTGAGGTGCAGAGAGAACAATAGAGGGACATCCAGAGTGTGATAACTTGTTCAAGCTCAACCTGTATGTGATGTGAAGCATGAGATTCTTTTGAGGGGCTTCCAAGCTCTGCAGACATAAAGTATTTCGGAGTACAGGAGCATACAACTAGTGGATAGGACAACAGATCGCACATGGCAAAACAACATTTGCAGTCAGACTCCATTTTCAATGACGAAAAATCCTTCATATCATCAATGTAGAACTTCAAACCTTCTGCCACTGCAATCCACATCCTTAAGCAGCTAGGACCACTGTGCTTGTACAATAATCCAGTAGTGACAACTAGGCTTTCCAGGGGATCAAACATTGATAACAGATATTTGAAATAATTCTGCATTCTCTGAAGATTGATGTCTGTTTTGGGTTCGGTCATTGTTGACTGAACCACTAAGCAGAAGTAAAGTACACTTAAATAAACCATTGGTGAAACCATATCCATGTAAGCGTTAGTGACACCGGATTTTGCACATCCAATGTCAACTAATATTTGGTGGTTATCAATACACTTGATGTCAAATGGCACCCTGTAAATAGGGAATCCCACTATAGTATGTTCAATCTCCTCACAGACAGCCTCCACCAACTGAAGCGATATGTGATGTAAGTCACAATAACATAAGCAAGTGAGTACCTTGGAAAGATTTAGCGGAGGGGGTAATATTGTAGACCTAGTGTTCAATAAACACCTCTCTGACATATCCCTCTCCCTCTTATCAGAGCTAAGGAGTCTTCTATATACTGAAGGAGCCCATATATGCGATAACAGCCTGTCACAATAACATAAGGCATATTCAGAAGAATTAGTATGAAAACAACACTATTTTAAACGCATGATACTTGCGATGTATTACCTGAATAGCCTCAAAAGTAGTCGACAAAGAACTGATAGGATTGTCAATGGCATGAACAATTGCAAGCAAAAGAGAATGGAAAGGGGCAGCTAAAAGTGGTGTACTCAATTGTTGGATAGATATGCACCACACCCCTAAATTGCAAACAGACTGCAGTTATGAAATCAGCAGGTTACTATTCGGACACGCGAAAAAACAAAAACTAAAAACACAAAAAGATCATCGCTTGTAGTAATAAATTCCCGTCAATATAAAGAAATAACCTTCATTTTTGTGGTTGTAAGGAGCTTTGCCAGTGAATCTAAAACAAATTTGACATCATCCGCTGCGAAACAAAGAAATTGGTGACAGAAATTTGGTTATCAGTTTAAGCTCAGCTGCATAAAAAGTTCAAAATTTTAATTTCAAACGAATCAGAATTTTGAGTGGCTACATGTACCTGCGATTTCGGCGACGATGGACGGATGATATATCATGAAGCCCAAGCATTCCAATGCCTGAGTTGCACTGCAAATTTTTTAAATAAAAAAGAAAAATCCAAGACGTATTCAGTTAAACCACACCATTAAAATAAATGAAAAACCCAGAAAAATGAGATTTCGAATCGGAAGAACTCACATTTCTTCGTCATTGTTCCGAACATCGGCGACGGTCGGACGGATGCAAGCATTTGAATTGAATCGTGGCAGTCGGAGGATTGCTGCTGGAGGTGTAAGAGGATGGAGTAGGCGAATGACTTGTTTGCTTTGGTGGCGGCTGAAGAAATCAGATCCCTGATTTCTACGAGCTGGTCTGAAAATCCGGAAATCGTTGCGGTGGGGGAGAGGAAGCAGCAGTGACCAGACTACCGGTAGCATGTGAGGTGAAACCCTAATATCGCACTGGATTTTTGGAATTGGGAGTCTTTTCGCGCCATAGCATTGAAAAGGGTGACGGGTTTAGCAACCTGGGGCCTGTTGGGCTTTAGGCCTAAATAAATGGTAAGAAATATTAAAGTGTTTTTAGAACTAAAAAATATTCCTTTAAAAGCGTTTTTAATCACTAGTACTTGTTAAACGAGTCCTAAGTCCCATGTATTTCTGTGACAGGATTTTTTGAAGTTCCACGACTTTTGGATGGATTTATACGAAAGAGTTTGTGATAAGGTTTCAGGTTTGCTTGTAGCACACATAAACGATAGTTGAGTTTGTAATAAGTTCAATTTCTTCATTATGCGTGAATTTCTCCATATATATATATATATGCATATTACGTACCACAATTTTATGTACATATACATTTGTCGCAATACTTTGTACCCATGAGTTTTTTTCAGATCTACTCTCGACCATGGAGATCATCATGGCTAAAGAGCTATTCATGGCAGGCCTGAGTTTATGGTGTTTGGCTACCAACACCATGTTACACCCGCCCCTGCTTATAAGGATAATTCTGTAATTCTCCCTAAAAATTTATAGAATTATCACTTTGGTCCTCATTTTTGTCACAAAACCAAGATCTGAAATTTAAATTGTTACCCTATCACTTAGACTGCCACGTGGCAGCACCCTAACCCACTTCCCTTTTTCTCTTTTGTCCCCCCCCCCCCTTCCGTGACCTTTTTCTTCTTCTCCTTTTTCTTTTTCTTTTCTTTTCTTTTCTTTTCTTTTGGTTTGTCTGCACTTTTCTTTCTCTCTCTCTCTCAAAAACTCTCTCTTTCCTTTTCTTCTTCTTCTACCCGTGAAAGACACACACACACACCCATTGTTGCACCTGCTTGAGGACACATCCACCATCATCACCAAACCTTAGCTTTCTCTCTCTCTCTCTCCCTTGCTCGCGGTGCCGGAGGACACGAACACTTCCGGCGAGTTTTAGCTTGTTTTTCCGGTTGGGTTTTGGAGTGTTTTGGCACGGGTAAAGGCACCCAAATTTTTCCGGCGAGTGTGTGGTTTCCGAGGGAGTTTCCGGCCACCACAAGCCGTTACACGGCGAACCCAAGGTGCGATTCTTAGCGGAGATTTCGTTACTCCTGTTTGGTACAGCTTGCACCCTCGGTGTACGGTGAGTGGACCCCTTCAAAAAAATGCATGTTTTAATGGTAGAATTGCATACACAGAAAAGCATGACTTTACGATTATGTTTTATGAAACGTTTTGAGATAATATGCTTACTGAGGCTAGTTTGAATTATTACTATTTTTCCTATAACCCATGTTCTTATAGAATATCTGATGGATGACGATATGATATTTAGAACATGTTTAGAACACTTCTTTATAGTATAGATGATGGATGACTTTATACTATGAAGTTGATTTTCAAGATATGTATGTTCACTGATTTTATGCCTACCTAGTGGTCCTTTCCGCTACGGGACGTAGGGATACATCCGGTCCGTCCCGGGCGACGGTTTGATGTTGGCATAGGGCCTGGAGTGTGTTTTCCTCTGACTGTCTGCTCAGAGACGGGGAGCCGGCATGGGGCCTGAAGTGTATTTTCCTCTGACTGTGTGCTCAGAGACGGGGAGCCGGCATGGGGCCTGAAGTGTTATATCGGACATTCACTAGTGTTTATTATTTACGCGATTTATGATTTGAGACATTGCGCGTCATGCTAGATTTCGGAAAACCTATATTTACCATTATACTTGTGTTTTCATAAACCTGGGGGTTAGTATGTTCATAACTGTTTTACTATTACTGTATATATAAACTTGGTCCACTCACCTTTGTTTTGCGCCCCCTTCAGGACCTTGGAACGAGGATTACGATCTAAGCTACGAGGCGTTCCCCTATCAGTGATTTGTATCTTATTCACTCCGCTTCGCCACCTATTGTAATAGCACTTCTTTATTCTGAGTTCTGCTTGTACTCTGTATTAGAATTATGCTCTGGGCGTGCTGTGGGTTTACCTAATTTCTTTTTTAGAGGTTGAACTTTTATTTGGGTTTTTAGTCTTTATTGCGTACTTTAGTTTATTTTCTCAGCTTTTGTTTTAATTAAATGGTTTCGTCACCCTTCGGGTGTCGGCCAGCACGTGACCATCTCGATGTCTCTAGGACCTCGGGGTCGGGGCGTGTCAGATTGGTATCAGAGCATGGTTAGTTCAGAGCATACTTAGGATTTCATTCCACCATTTGGTAGTCATATTTCTCATTACCTTCTTAATCTCCAATTATTCTAAATCTTTCTTGCCTCTTTTCAGAATTATGGATCCCACTGGTGGGAATGTGCCTCGTCGAACTCGTTCTGGTTTAGGGGGAGGAATTCAGCAGTTAACTAATGCTATACGTAATGCTTTCACTAATCGACCGAGTCGCACGTATATTGAGATTGCACGGAGCCATGGTATTCCAGATCTTAACGTAGTTGGGGCTTGTCCGGAGGCCGAGGAGTGGCTTGAGCAGGTGGAGGACACTTTGGAGAGCATGAGATGCCCGCAAAATGAGTGGGTGGACACTGCAACGTATTTTATGAAAGGGGACGCTAAACTTTGGTGGAAATCGGTGAGGCCTCGTCCACCTAATGATCCAATGAATTGGGTTGACTTCAGGAAGGCTTTCAGCGCTTATTTCTTGAGTCCCAGTTATCAGCTTAGGATGAGGCAACAATTCTTGGAGTTTCGCCAGGGCGATTTGAGTATCACGGAGGTAGACTGTACTTTTCGGCGCCTGGCGAGACATCACTCAGGGACTTATGGAAACCCAGGTGAAATGATGGTCCAGTTACTGATTTGCTTGAACCCTGATTATCGTGAAGCAGTGGCAGCAATAAGGCACAGCAGTTACGAAGAGATGATTGAGACTTGCTTAAGGATTGAACAGTCTAGGTGGGAGACTGAGCATCAGGCACAGGCACAGGCACAGGCGCAGGCGCAGTTACAGTTTCAGGGACCACCAAGGTATCAAGACCGACCTCGGTACCAGAACCAGAGGGGTCGTGGATTTCGATCTCGGAGCGTGAGAGAAGCTGCTAGTTCGTCTAATTATGCTGGCCCTCGACATTCTTTTTCCTTTAAACGTCAAGGCCAGGGTTCAGGTTCTTCTAGCGAAGGCTCAGGCAATGAATCTGGGAGAAGATCCTTCAGTCACTTCAGATCCCCCATTACGTGCCACAGGTGTGGAGGCACGGGACATATTGCTAGATATTGCCCATCTGAGCGACCCGCCGAGAGTTATGCTTCTGCGCCGAGTTACAGTGGAGGGAGTAACCCGAGCTCCAGTTATGGTGGCAATTTTACTCGAAGCGACGTGGGAAACGGAAGACTTGATGAGAAATCAGTATCCGTTTTTATTTACTTAAGGTTGTAAATTTCGAGGACGAAATTTCTATAAGGGGGGTAGATTGTTACACCCGCCCCTGCTTATAAGGATAATTCTGTAATTCTCCCTAAAAATTTATAGAATTATCACTTTGGTCCTCATTTTTGTCACAAAACCAAGATCTGAAATTTAAATTGTTACCCTATCACTTAGACTGCCACGTGGCAGCACCCTAACCCACTTCCCTTTTTCTCTTTTGTCCCCCCCCCTTCCGTGACCTTTTTCTTCTTCTCCTTTTTCTTTTTCTTTTCTTTTCTTTTCTTTTCTTTTGGTTTGTCTGCACTTTTCTTTCTCTCTCTCTCTCAAAAACTCTCTCTTTCCTTTTCTTCTTCTTCTACCCGTGAAAGACACACACACACACCCATTGTTGCACCTGCTTGAGGACACATCCACCATCATCACCAAACCTTAGCTTTCTCTCTCTCTCTCTCCCTTGCTCGCGGTGCCGGAGGACACGAACACTTCCGGCGAGTTTTAGCTTGTTTTTCCGGTTGGGTTTTGGAGTGTTTTGGCACGGGTAAAGGCACCCAAATTTTTCCGGCGAGTGTGTGGTTTCCGAGGGAGTTTCCGGCCACCACAAGCCGTTACACGGCGAACCCAAGGTGCGATTCTTAGCGGAGATTTCGTTACTCCTGTTTGGTACAGCTTGCACCCTCGGTGTACGGTGAGTGGACCCCTTCAAAAAAATGCATGTTTTAATGGTAGAATTGCATACACAGAAAAGCATGACTTTACGATTATGTTTTATGAAACGTTTTGAGATAATATGCTTACTGAGGCTAGTTTGAATTATTACTATTTTTCCTATAACCCATGTTCTTATAGAATATCTGATGGATGACGATATGATATTTAGAACATGTTTAGAACACTTCTTTATAGTATAGATGATGGATGACTTTATACTATGAAGTTGATTTTCAAGATATGTATGTTCACTGATTTTATGCCTACCTAGTGGTCCTTTCCGCTACGGGACGTAGGGATACATCCGGTCCGTCCCGGGCGATGGTTTGGTGTTGGCATAGGGCCTGGAGTGTGTTTTCCTCTGACTGTCTGCTCAGAGACGGGGAGCCGGCATGGGGCCTGAAGTGTATTTTCCTCTGACTGTGTGCTCAGAGACGGGGAGCCGGCATGGGGCCTGAAGTGTTATATCGGACATTCACTAGTGTTTATTATTTACGCGATTTATGATTTGAGACATTGCGCGTCATGCTAGATTTCGGAAAACCTATATTTACCATTATACTTGTGTTTTCATAAACCTGGGGGTTAGTATGTTCATAACTGTTTTACTATTACTGTATATATAAACTTGGTCCACTCACCTTTGTTTTGCGCCCCCTTCAGGACCTTGGAACGAGGATTACGATCTAAGCTACGAGGCGTTCCCCTACCAGTGATTTGTATCTTATTCACTCCGCTTCGCCACCTATTGTAATAGCACTTCTTTATTCTGAGTTCTGCTTGTACTCTGTATTAGAATTATGCTCTGGGCGTGCTGTGGGTTTACCTAATTTCTTTTTTAGAGGTTGAACTTTTATTTGGGTTTTTAGTCTTTATTGCGTACTTTAGTTTATTTTCTCAGCTTTTGTTTTAATTAAATGGTTTCGTCACCCTTCGGGTGTCGGCCAGCACGTGACCATCTCGATGTCTCTAGGACCTCGGGGTCGGGGCGTGTCACACCATGATCTTTACTTTCGGCCCTATCAGCCCCACCATCCTTGATATCTCATCTATCCTTGGGACTTCCCCATCTAGTCTCCCAATAGATGCTACCCTTGCCGGGTGCCCGTCGAACCTCGACCTAAAAGCGTTGTTCAACGAACGGGTCGTCGAGACACTCAACCGAGGAGATCGAGAGCCTTCGAAAGAAGAGGTTCAAAAGCTACACAAGAACTTCTTCAACTACAACACTCTCATTCTCCACTTCACCGGCCGAGGCAAGGAGAGCATTAGGAAGGGAGAACATAAAGCCTTCCTATTCTACTGGTACAACAAATTCATCTGTTGTACCCCTTGGGTTAAATTTCATGTCTTATGGAACAAGTATGGCCATATAAGCGGAGTCACTCGAATTTCATCTATTGTCCCGGATCAAGGTGATGGTAGCATCGCTACTCCGTTAGGTCAAACTCTTCACAGAGTTGTTAAGTCATGACCAAACTTTTGAGGTAACGTTATTCCGATCAGCCTTTCTCCAGCTTTAGAATACGTACTGTTTGGTCTTCTATCTTTGTATATGATCCAATTTCGTATAATGTAGCAGAGACAATTCAGACTCAGTGGTGCAATCTTGAATGTCATGCAAAAAAATTTGTAATGATGATGAATACTGTTTGTTTCCTAATCGATGAATAGAGTTTAATCTGTCAATCTATTTGAAGTAAGAAGTGTTGAGGAAAAACACAGGTAAGCTTATGGGCCCGGGGCAGAGTTCAAAAGCCATCTTTGGTGACGTTGTTTTGGGAAAACATCACCTCCAAATTTAGTATTTGTATAGATTTTCACCGCAATATCCGGAATACCACCTTACTCCGGTAATAGGTATTAAATATTAAGCTAATGGAAAACCTTTTGCCCTAGACTCACGGTAATGCATTGACCAGATTAAGGTTGAGGAAGTGTCGGATCATACCCGGAATGACCTCCAAATTTAAATGTTAGTCTAACATGTTTAAGTTGTCTTTGTTTTTTGATTTCGTTTGTTCTTTCACCTTGCCCCCATTCCAAGTCAGAGGATTTCAATAGTGCAACATGTCACCAAGAAGGGGCTTCCTTCTCAGTCCGAATTGTGTGTCCATCTTTAGTGATTCTTAAACGAAAGTTTGTTAGGAATTTGGTCGGCTGCATGTGGGTCAAAAATATTTTTTAAATCCTTTTGTCAAATCCTATGCATCGGACTCGTGGACTTTGAATGTCGTTTTCGGTTTCTCTGAATGTGTCACACATATTGCATGTGGTGATGACCGGTTGTTGTTTGGATGGGATATTTTGCATGCGTGCAATATCCCTTTTGTGCACCTCGTTGCGTTATGGTCTTGGTAGTTACTATATTTTACTTGGTCATCAGGCATTGTTGGTTTATAGTAATGTCTGTGTAATCACTTACCACTCCACTCTCTCTTATTTACCCACCATCACTTCTCTCTTCATTTCTCACCGAATCTCTCTCTCTCTCTCTCTCTCTCTCTCTCTCCACTCTCTCTTGTATTTTGTGTATAATGCTAGCAGAAAAAGTGACAGTGGAGGTTATCCAGAGAAATATATTGGCGCTAATACTAGATGATATTCATGCGGAGGTTGAGATAGAAGGGCCTCAATTTTGGTAGATTTTAGATGTTGTTATCTTGTAAAATGTTAGACAACTTCATTCACTCAGTATATATTACCTAGTTAAACTCATTCGAATTTCTCTTCATATATTGTTTCTAATCTTAGTACCTCACCCAATTCATGAATTTGAGTTAAGGTCTTTTTTTTGTTCTTTTTCTTTTCTTCTTTTCAAATTTCTTCTCAACTGATGCAGTTTAAGGTTTATTAATTATAGATCGATATAATTAGTATGTGAGTGGGCAAGAATCCGGATGTAATTCGTGTAAAAAGAAAAAAAAATTCAATTCTTTTTAAATAATTTTGGTATAGGGCACGATTACACAGAAGTGCCCAATCAGTTGAAAAGGACTGTCAGACCTATCAGAATGAAGGCACAAATTAGGCTCTATAATGCTTTGCCTTGATAACACAAACAACTATATTGTGCCCTTCGGCCAAAGGACACACTCATAAAGGGCACACATAAAATTATTGTTGCTACATTGTTGCTATTTGTCTACAAGCACATATGTTGGTGCTCTTTGGCCTCAAAGGGCACACAATAATTTATTGTGTGCAGTGCCCATATTTTTTGTAGTGTGCCAAGTGCTATGCATATATATGCAACCGGAGAGCTTGTCTAACGACCGATTTCAGCAATCTTGGTCCAAGATTTCAGAGATCTGTCATCGTAGTCTATTTCATACAATGCAAAGTGAGTTATGCGGAAGGTCAAGCTAGTAATGCTCTCGTCGAGAATATTAACAATTTCTCCAGCTTTTTTCCTTTCTTCTTCCGTCAACTTCCCATAGAGGAGACTCAAATATGGCATAGAACCTGCATCAAATATTGCAGACACGCAGATTACATACGTACATTCCCGTCAACACTTTAAGAAATTAAGTCACTGTAAACAACAACTTACTGTTGTAGAAACCGAAATGGTAGCTCCAACTTTGGGCATTTTCAAACAACTAAGAAAAGAAGGTGTAATGATAAGTGAGTCTATTCAAGCTCAAACCAAAACGAGAAAGATGAAAAGGAAACAAAACATCAAGAAAATGAATATGTATTAACAAGTGATCGAGAAAATATATACCTCTCGATCCATCAATAATGAAACACACTGGTGATAGTAATTCTTAGTAACCACCCGATCAACTTTAGCAATGATGTCATCCATAGGAGCAAATCTAAACTTGTTAAGGGCATCCTCACGACTCATCATCTGGATGGATCCCAAGATGGGGATGTGCGGTTCGATCTCCGGCCCACCAAACTCTGCCTGGAGGCCCTCCATCACCTTCTTGATTCTATGGGAAACATCAGCCGGTGGAATGGCCCAAACCAAATACGAGTACAACCTCCGGCAACTTTCCCTCTTCCCGTCTACCACCACCATCGCATCTTCATCTTTATCTGAGCAAGTATTCTCTATGCTCTTAAGCTTGTGGCTGCGTCCCATGACCGAAACTATGCTATTCACATAAACAACAATATTGTCTTTATCTTCTGTTTCAATGGGAATATGCTTAAGCTTTTTGGTACAAAGATTAAAGAAAACTACGTGTCCATCACTGTCAACCATAATACACTCATCGCCCCACAATGCCACAGGTCTAGACCTACGTATCTGATCATCTGTGCCCTCAATAATCAAGTGTTTTGTCCAAGCACCACTAAAGTCATCATCCATCACCCACATTTCATAAGGTTCAGGATATCGACGATGGTCCACACCAAGGGCAAAAAAAGCAACTGATTCATTCCAAACAGTAAGCTTCAAATAGAGGTGATTCGACTGGACAAACTGTTGGAGCTCAGATGGTAAGGGTATACCGTGAAATACCTCACGACTTGTATCGAAGGAAATGATCAATATCCCATTTGCATGGAATCGATGCTCAACTGCGTCAAATCGAAATAATTCCTTATCTTGCTCAATTCCCAGCCAATAACACATTCCCTTGAAGTACATCTGGAAATCCTCAGGCCAAAACAAAGTAGTTTCGGTTTCTAAAGAATCTGTGTTGATCTCTTCCCAAAAATCACAACCCATGGTGTATACTACTGCTCTGTGCCGACTAAGAAATGTCCGGCAGCGTTCATCTACCTCTTGAAAATAAGTAGTAAAGGTCACAACTTTGTACTCGTTAGACATGGGATCATAGCCAAATCCAGTATGAAAACCAGTTTCGAGATGGTCTTGCCCATCGTAATCATCCGGCTGGTGCAAGGGCCACATTGGAAGGCATGGCTCATCAGGAATACGATTGAATTCCCCAATTCCAGGATTGCATAAAACTAGGCTACTCTCACTAGATAGTAAAACGATGCCATTGCAGTGGCCTTGGATACGAAATTGTTGTTCCGGCACTCCGATATTTTGAATCAAAGATTGAGGAATAATGATGTCCTGGACACCAACAAGAGAGCAGCTATTGCTATGCTCGTCATCAGTATTATCATCGTCTTTGAAAAACTCAAGAAATGATAATACTTCTTCAGTCTCCTCCTTCTTAGTGGTGCTGTTAGACTTGGGGTCCTCCTCCTCCTCCTCATGCTGCTGCTGCACTACTAATCGCGCCAAAAAGACGTGGAGAGTGGTGAGATTGTTGTTCGCGGAGTTGGAGAGGTGCTTTGACACGAAACCCGGATTGTTGATGAGAGCAGACCACCATTTAGAGACACATTTGAATCGCATCAGAGTTTTGGGAGGCAGAGTTAGTAGGATTTTCACCAACATATCTTGTCCCATTTTCATTTTGCTGCTGCAACACTACTCGCGCTCTCCCTCTAACGATAAACAATAAATTATGAAAACTTTTTAATTAAGATTTCTAAGAAGAAAAATTCACAAACAGTAAACTGATTCAGATTTTAGATCAAATCTTTGATTAATTCTCGGAAGCAAGGTCCAATTACATACGTCCTGATCTGCGTGTGTGCTTATCATCACCATAGAAACTGATTAGGATTAGTAAGTAAAGATTTTAATTAATTGTTGCAGAAATTACCGGAGATGAAAGAGACCCCCGCCGGAGAAGTAGTCGATGGAGGCCGCACCTGCTGGTTTTGTGTTCTGCTCTACGACCGTGATGATAGACCGAGTGTGGGAGATGCGTTTCTTGAACCCTCTACCTCAAAAGTTGGGCCCACATAATATCCTCCATTGCTTTCTTTGTAGGCCTCATGGAACATGTTATTTGATTTTAACCCGAGTTCATTTCTTCTGTCACATCGTGTCAACATGGTATAATGTGGATTATGCCTTGATTTTAGCTTGCATTATACTGTGAAGATACATTATTTGGAAAAAAAATGTATAATATTTGCATTTCTTAGAGTAGATCTGAATCATGTCAATT